AAAGGGGCAGTTCTACCTTGTCCTATAGGGTCGCCATGAGGCAGGATCCACTGGATGAGAGTGAGTTGAGTTGACCTGAATTGAGTTGAGTTAATATTAAATGGTAAAGCCATCAGATTTTGGTCTATTCATTGTTGGGAGGAGGTTGATAACTGATTTTGTCTCTTTACTTGTTATACTTCAGTTGAAATTTTCTATGACTTGAGGTAATTTAGGTAACTTGTGGGTTTTTAGAAATTTCTAGAGGTAACATGGTCAGGAACCAATAATACTGAAAGAAGAAGTCCAAGCCACACCAATGGCAGTTGCAGAAAACAAAGTCCAGGGATTGCGGAATGCCAACTGAGATATTTCAACAAATGAATTCAACACTGGAAATGTTTTCTCGTCTGTGCCAAGAAATGTGAATGACAGCTACCTGTCCAACAGACTGGATGAGATATGTATTTGTGGCCATTCCAAAAAAAGAATGCACCAACACAATGAAGAAACTATTAGACAATGCCATTAATATCAGACACAAGTAAAATTTTTCTGAAGATCATTCAGAAATGGTTTCAATGCTTTATTGGTAAGAGGCAGCCAAAATTTAAGTTGGACTGTGGAACAGGGATATCATCGCTGCTATGAGATAGATCTTGGCTGAAAGCTGTGAACACCAGAATGAGGTTTATCTCAGGGTTTTTGGACTATACAAAGGCATTTGACTCTGTGAGTCATGTCAAATCAGAGATAAAGTTGTGAAGAATGAAAATTCCAAAGCAATTAATTGTGCTCATGCAGAACATGTACATCAACCACGAGACAGTTATTAGAACAGAACAAGAGGCTAGTGCATGGTTTCAAATGTCAGGGTTGTATTCTTTCACCATTTTTAATCATTCTGAATGCAGCATTATTCAGTTGGTTCCAACTCATAATGACCCTATGTACAACGAAACAAAATGTTAACTGGTTCTGCGCCATCCTCACAATTGTGTTTGAGCCCATTATTACAGCCACTGTCAATCCATCTTGTCAGAGGTTTTTCTCTGATGTCTTTTTCCGGGGACTGGTCTCTCCTGATAACATGTCCAAAGTATGAGAGACTAAGTCTTGCCATCGTCACATCTAAGTAACTTTCTGACCATACTTCTTCTGAGACAGATTTATTTGTGGTTCTGGCAGCCCATGGTACTTTTAGTATTCGTTACCAGCACTATAATTTAGTGCATCACTTCTTCCATCTTCCTTAGCCATTGTTCAACTTTCACATGCGTAAGAGGTGATTGAAAATAGCATGCCTGAGTCAGACACCTTTGCCTTTCAGCCCTTTAAAGAGAGCTTGTGAAGCAGATCTGCCCAATATAATACATCGTTTGTTTTCTTTGCTGCTGCTTCTATGAGCATTGATTGTAGATCCAAGCGAGTTGAAATCTTTGACAACTTCTGACTTCTCTCTGTTTATCATGATGTTGTGCATTGGCCCAGTTGTAAGGATATTGTTTTCTTTACATTTGTATATGTCCAACTTAAAACTATAGCAAAGATTCATGAATTATACCTCTTCCTCTCCACAAAAAAAATAAATATCAGGAACAAATGAAGGATAAGAGTTGGATTTCAAACCAGACTTTGTTGCTGTTAACATTTTCTCACTTTTGTTAGCTGATCTACTCTAAGTATGCACACAAAAAAATACTCCTGAATGCCACTGCTCCACAGCCCCTTGGAATATCAACAAGTAATTATAAAGGACATTCACATTGTAGTTCTCTCCTTTTTCATAGCATTTCTAAGCTGTGTGTGTGTGTGTGTGTGTGTGTGTGTGTGTGTGTGTGTGTGTGAGAGAGAGAGAGAGAGAGAGAGAGAGAGAGAGCCCGACCAGAAGGCAGGAAAGGTCATCTTTAATAAATGATCTTCTCAATGGTAGAGATTTCAGAGAATAGGACTGACCACCTTGCCTTTTGTGAGTTCCACAGAATCACAAGTTCATCGCCTCCTGTTTAAGGAACCGTTCCCTGGGAGTGCTAAGCCCTTGTTAGGGTACTTGATAACAAGGTCCACCAGGGTTCCAGATAACTGCCCAAAGAACACCTCCCTGTACTCTCATTTGCCAGTGCTTAGGACCACCCACTCCTGCTGGCAGAGAGAGCAACAATTGTTGTGCTTCACCCACGGTGACATGTAGCAGTTGGGGAAGGAATGAGTACATCCTTCCCAGACCACAGCACGATCCACTTGTTTGTTTTCAGCTTGACATCTAAGTCAGGAATCTAGACCCAACGCATGGTGCACATATTGCACTCCACCTCCCAGGTCCGCATTGCCCTCGCTTTCTTCTTCTTGAGGGAAAACACTTTATCACCCCCAAACTTGGAGCCTGTGCTCCCAGAGTGAGAGGAAAGGGTGCCAGGTTCCTTGCCCTCTTCCAAGTCGGCCATGGGGGTAACCTGGAGCCAACAGCAAAGTTAGAGAGGCTATGGTTTATGGTTTCAGTCTGTGTTGTGACTTATTTTGTGACCTGACATATGGTCTATCTTAGAGTGATCCATGTGCACTAGAGAACAATGCATATGCTGTTATTGGATGGAATGTTGCTGTTATGCCTGTGTGCTCTGGTGTATATTGTTGTTGATGTACAATTATAAGTATGAATTATAATTATTTTAAATCACCAGTTTAATAATTCTAAAACATCTGCTATATTCAACTCTGATGCTTGTCTATTCAACCAAGGATGAAGCTGCTAGTCTTTGAGTGTTTCCTTGATACCAGCATAGCATATGCTGCTTTAAACCTTCTGCTTTATGTTCTAGTGTACCTTATCAAAGGAAGTGAACTTAATCCTTCTCCAAAAAGAAATGATGAACGCAGTGTGGTACTAGGTTTCTGATTTGTAGAGGATTTTTCGCTCATCCTCTTAACTGTTCTGGCTGTTATGGTCCCTAGGAATAGAGAGAACCAACATTTGAGTTGCTCGTTGTCAAAGTGGGGAGAAAACTTCAGGATGTCAGATATATTGTGAAGTCTATCCAATAAGAGGCTTACAGTCTGGTAATACATGAGGACAACAAAGGGATGAGGCTAATGGCCATGTTCTGCTTCACCTCCCTGTGAAGTCTTCAGTGCCCAAGGACTGTTAGTCTCTCCTCTCCTTTTTGCACATTTGGGGAGATGGTATCTTGCTGATTCAGATTGTGTGTAATGCTGTAGGACTCTGTGCTTGTTGATGATGTGGCTGTCAGCTTTACCCAGGAAGAATGGGCTTTGCTGGATTTTTCTCAGCGGAAACTCTATAGAGATGTGATGATGGAAACCTTCAGGAACTTGGACTCAGGTAAGAACAGTTTCATTTTTCTGACTCACTTCTTTATGGAGTACAGATGTTGTACTCATTGACCTTTTGATAGTATTTGGGTTGAAGAATAAACATGAAAGGCATTTTCATTTTCCTCATGGAGCTTAGAATTTAGTGGCTATTTCATGAAACTAAAAAGCTATGTATTATACTGAATATTTATTTTATGCTTAAAAACCTTGAGGTTCTTTGTGGCTTCAGGAGTCAGTTTGAGGTAAAAATATTTGTGGTTGGGAACTCACATTAGGGTTTTACTGTGTTTATTTCAAGTTATATGGGATACACCTGTGCATACGTAGAGACTGCAGTATTGACTTAATGTCAAGAAAATGTCCCTCCTAAACTGCCTTTCTCCATCAGCACCATGTGAACCATACTAATTTTTCTTTCTGAGAAGCTAACGAATGATTTTAGGAAAGCGGAAACAGGAAAAAGGATTCACTTAGAGCTACATTATCAGAGAACACAAGAAAAGCAAGAATTTGAAGGACCAGACCTGTTGGAACAGAATTACATTTTAATAAATCAGCTCAAAAAATTATCTCTTGGTTTGAGCATATGGAACTTCCGCTCATACTTGAGCTGAGTTTAAAAAAATCAATCTTCATGCCTTTTCTGCCTATAAGAAACCTATTCCCCACTTTTTCTATTTTAATAGTACCTTTGCCCATTCCTATTATTTGCAATACTTTTCTACTTTGTTCTCCTACTTACACCCTACTCACATCACCACCACTTTCAATTGTTTAGAATTCCTCCTAACTAGGTCCTTTACCATTTTAGCCATTTTCAAAATCCTGGAACAGCCAAATGCCACAAAATCTTCCTTAATACTTCCCTTGTTCCACAAGTAATGTCTCTACTGTTTTGTTTCATATTGTAAAACTCCACTTAAAATTATTGGGTCAGTTTTTCAACAGAGTAATAATAAACAAAGGTTGTCCTTGAAGAATGACTCCTGGTCCTCCATAATAGGAGGACTGTATGGTTGCCGTGACCTCACAGAGCAGCTCTGCCACCAGGGGAACTTGACGAGGTAAGTACCCTTCCTGATTCCTTGAGTTAAGTCTCTGAAGTGAGTATTCAGATGTTATGGCATTTCTGTGTACAAAACACTAGCTGTAAAATGGTGTGTTCACATAATTTCAAAAACAATATTTCCATAAATGGGAATCATATATTCAGTATTTGACACTTATTTCACTTCTACACAACTATCATAAAGTCCTACTATTTATAAAGACTGTGAAAACTATTTAGTAAGACTGTTACAATAATGATAGACCTAATTCAAACGATGCAACATGAGATAACTCAGTGCAGAAAACATAAGACCACTGTGTATGGTAATTGAGATGGTATCACATTTTATTCTAACAATTTATTGCCTATTTTTAACAGAAGATATATGGTAGAGGGCCTCCATGAGAGTAAAGAATATATAGGAAAGAAAAATAAGGAAGGTCACCAGTATGAGAAAACTTTCGACTGGATTGCAGATCGTCCTAGGCCTAAGAGAACTCATGCTGAAGTAAATCCTTCTAAATGTCATGAGTGTGGAAAAGCCTTCCTGGTTCACACATCTGTGCCTCAAATGAGATCGCAGATTGGATACCAACATTATCAACATACGGAATGTGAAGACTGCAATTGTCCCTCTTATCTGAAACCTTTTGTGAGAACTTTTCCTGGAGAGAGACTTTGTAAATGTGAGAATTCAGGAAAACCTTCTAGTGGTTCCTCACCTCTCACTAAGCATATAATAACTCAGTGTGAAAAGAGGGCTTATGAATGTAAGGAATGTGGGAAAAACTTTAGCCCTTCCTCACGACTCACTAAGGGAAGAACTCCGAGTGGAGTGAGGTCCTATGAGTGTAAGGAATGTGGAAAAGCCTTTCGCTATTCCTCTTACCTCACCAGACATATAAGTTCTCACAGTGGAGAGAAACCTTATGAATGTAAGGAATGTGGGAAAGCCTTTCGTCGTTTCTCATCTCTCACTACACATATAAGAGCTCACAGTGGAGAGAGACCTTATGAATGTAAGGAATGTGGGAAAGCCTTTAGTCGTTTCTCATCCCTCACTACACACATAAGAGCTCACAGTGGAGAGAGGCCTTATGAATGTAAGGAATGTGGGAAAGGCTTTAGTCGGTCCTCACACCTCACTACACATATAAGGTCTCATACTGGAGAGAGGCCTTATGAATGTAAGGAATGTGGGAAAACTTTTACTTGTTCCTCACACCTCACTAGACACAAAAGGCATCACTGTGGCGAGAGGACTTACTAATATAAAAAATGCTGAAATGTCTTCAGATGTCTTTCATCCTTTGCAACAGATCTTAGTAGGAATACTGGAGAGAAATATGTATGTAAGTAATGTTGGAAATCTTTCATCCTTTTTCTTTTGTCAAACCTGAAAAAATCATATATGTCCAAGGAACCATATAAATGTAATGAATGTTAGAAGATTTTTCTTTCCTACTTTCAATGACACTCATGTATATGGAAAAGCCTTCTGTATTAACTACTGAAACATGTGAGAACTCTACCAGAGAAGCATCATGTAAATGTAAAGATCCTGGGAACATCGTGTGGCTTGATCCTATGGATGTAAAAGGTGATGGAAGCCTTTGGTGCCCCTTCTCCTTAAGGATTCTTGTGACATTTTGCAAAATGGAGAAACCCTGTAACTATAAGCATTGAGAAAGCCTTCGATCTTCTACTTTTCCTTTGGTGCACAAAAATATTCCAGGAGAAGACCTCTCGAATGCTTTTTGGATATCACCATTCCTATATCCCCATTTACACTAATTTCTATTTTTTATTTTTTGTTAAATACGGTAACTTGATAAATATCCCTTTAAGTTCCTTTTGAATTTTAGGATATGAATTTTGATACATATTCTTCCCATTTGGTTCATGTATATAATAATATTCTTCAATAGAAAGGTTCATTGATACATGGGTGTTTTGAGGTGTGTGTGTTTTCATAAAATAAGTCAAATTTTAACCTTTTTGTTACTTTGAATACAAAGCAGCATATTCTCATTGTAGAAAAAATTATTTTACCTGCTAAATGTATATAAAGGTAAATCTAAAAGCATTGCTACTCATGTTTCAGTTCATAGATGCATGGGTTCCTTCTAAACTAACCCATTTTAAAAATGTATCTACAGTCAGTAGAAAACTGCAGACAGTATCTCCCAATAATACATTTACCTTAGTCTCATTAGGTTGCCCCAAAGTCCAATCAAAACAGGGACTACCAAGGGGGTCTGTTGGGCAGTTTCAATTTAAGACAAGTCACCTCAGAAGGTTATGGCAACCCCTACCCCACCCCTCCACTCCCCACCCCCACCCCTAGATTCCAAAGCTATAACCTTGATATGTTTTCTTGAAGGACATGAGACAATCATGTGGGCTTATAATGGAGGAACTTTAAGAAAAATGAAAAAGACCAGGAAAGCTATGCTAAGGTTTTGGGGTTTAGGTGTCCCCCCACCCCCACCCCATCATGACAGTACACTTTCTCATTCACCAAGAATAGCAAGGAATATCTGTACTAATTTGGTTGGGAAATATTACCACATGCCCCCTGTATCCTTGATCTTTTTTCTTCAGACTTCTTTTTATTCTCAAAGCACCACATCAAAAAGAAACATGGTTTGATTCCCTGAGAGTATGCCAAAATTGCCATTTAGATGTGGTATAAATCAAAAGGTGCAGAATTCTTTGGGGGAGGTTATGTTAATCGTTAGGTGCCATCAAGTTGGTTGTGACTCATAGTGACCCAGTGCACAACTTAACAAAGCACTGCCCTGTCCTACACCATCCTTACAGTCATTATGTTTGAGCCCAGCCTTGCAGCCACTATTGCAATTTATCTTCTTGATGGTTTTCCTCTTTTGCACAAACTCTCCACTTTAACATGAGTGATGTCCTTGTCTAGGGACTAGTCTCTTCTAATAATATATCCAAAGACACGAGACAAAGTCTCTTCATCCTTGCTTCAAAGGAGCATTCTGTTTGTACTTCTTCCAGGACAGACTTTGTTGTTCTAGCAGTCATGATATTTTCAATATTCTTCAGGAATAGCTTAGAGAGATAGAAACAACACCTTGATAATTAAATGGACCTTTATAGCAGATATGGTAAGAAACTATAGCTTCACATTTTTATATTTTTGTTTAACCAAAGTGTCTATGATTTTTTTTAGGAATACGCTTTTACTTACCCTTCTCTATGAAATAAAAATTATTTGGGATATCACCACTTTTAATATTTGTATTCTTCAACCTTTCAACAAAGTCATGGCTTAAATATAGTCATGACCTGTAGTAAGAAAGGTTCTCAGTCTCTCAACATTCCAGAAGCTGTGCTACATGCCCCCTCACCTACCTGACCATCCTTTCTCATTTCATTTGAGGCATTGGAAGACTCCTCTCTGGAATGGTCTCCTCATCTATAAAACAAGGGTGAGGTCGGATTGTCTCTGCAGAATCTGTCCCTGACACTTGTTGATCTGATTCAAGATGTATACCTGTCTCCTAGACTCAACACCAAGAGACTGAGACCCCAGCTCATAGGGAGGTATGTCAGGGCAGTGCATGGGACTATAGTTACTGAAGAGTCCAGCATGAGCCAGGCATGTGACCATCCTTCTCCAATGGAGTTTCCCCCAGACTACCCTGGTATGTCCCATCCCCTGGATACCACTTAGGGCATCCATACTGTGTGCTCTTTCCACTATAATAGGCTCACATAGAGCCTTCCTGTGCTGAGCTGTCCTGTTCTGTCCATGGCTCCCAGTGTCCATTTGTTCAAAATTTGAAGGACTCTCTTAAGGCAGGGCCTGCCAGGGAAAACCCAGACATGACTAATAGCCAGGTTGGTGACACACTACAGACTGAGTCACATACCACACAGGAGCAGAGAGATGAAGGGTCCAGCTGGGCATGGTGTGAGCAGCCCGCCCTCTGCCTGGGAGGCTGTGTTGCAACTGAATGGACACAAGAGCAGAATTTGCTCATGACATTTGATGAAGAGATGGGATATGAACCACAAGTCAAGACACCAGAGAAAGTGTTCTGAGGGACAGTGCCAGAATGGCATTTGCCTAAGCGAGGTGGCAAGCCCGTGGATGGTGGTGAGAAAGGGGTTACAGGTCCCAGAACCAACGAGCAGAGATATGGAGCCAAAGGCAGCTTAACTTCCAAGATCAGTATGATCAGAGCACCAGACAAGTAGAAGGTTTTAAGGTAAGTCAGGGAGAAACAATGCATAAGGACAGTGGAGGTGGTGAGGAGGCAAACTAAAATAGGGAGGCCATGTTGGTTGCCAGATGGAGTGTGAAGACATTTCACCGTGGGTCTAAGTGGCAGCGTTCAGATTCTAAAAAGAAGAGTTGATTAAGATGAGTATTAAAAAACATATTTCTAAGGGGCATGCTGATATTAACACATAAGTTCCTCTGACAGCAAAGTATTGAATTGTCACCCAGGTAAAGGTTCACATACAATATAGTGAAGAGTGTATTTTTATATATACAAGGCGGGTGGGGCATGTCTAATCTGTGATGGGTAGGGTGTTTCTACTAGTTAAGAGGTCGCAGTTGGTAATGCCACGAAGTTGTTTAGGTGCCCTCGAGAGCTCTGACTCGGCGAGCCTCTGTCCAACAGAATAAAACACTGCCCAGCCTCATAAATGTTCTCATGTTGGAGCCCATAGATGCAGCCGCTATGTTAATCCATCTTGTTGAAGGTCTTCCTCTTTCTGGCTCCCCCACTACGTTACCAAGCATGATGGCCTCCACCAGGAACTGGTCTCTCCTGACATGTTGACCATGAGACCAACTCTTGCCATCCTTGCCTCCAAGGAGCATTCTGGCTGTACTTCTTTCTTTCTTTTTAAAAAATCTTTTTATTGTGGGTTTGTACAGCTCTTATCACAATCTATACATCCATCCATTGTATCAAGCATATTTGTACATATGTTGCTATCATCATTTTCTTTTGGCAGTCCATGATACAT